AAAAACACCCCTAACTATAAAGTCTCTTCTCTTTACTCTCCTCACCCTCTGATTTTATGTATATTTGGGCTTTCTAATTAGAAATATGTGCATTTAGATGACAAACATTTATTTCTGGGTGTAACATTTCGAGTGAGATTCGTGTTTAAAGTTTAAATGAACACTGTTATTATATTACGAGGAGTGCCTGGTTTGGAATGAAGTATTGACTTTCTAGAAACAGAGAGAAAGTAAATAAGAGCAAAAACCAAGTCAATAGGAGATCCGGACTCACTGAGCAGTGAGAAATGCCAAGACCACATTTCCAGTCTGAGAAAGTGAATGGGAGAAGCACAAAGACAGGCCAATGCTTTTCTCTACCCAAAGTTGTCTGCAATATTTTCTAGAAGCAAGAAAATGATAGAATCTGAGAGAAAGAAAGCTCCTAAGTATGCATAGCAGTAAAGCAATCAAGTTAAACTTCAAAATTTAATTTTTTAATACTCAAACATTTTAAAATATTTTTTCAAATGAGGAAAATTTGTGCTTGTGTTTATATGTGTGTGTGTGTGTCTGTGTCTGTATGTATGTGTGTGCATGTATGTGTGTTGCAGTTGGCTAGGAATATGGAAGAATAAAGCTACATGTCTGCCTGAAAGTGTCTATCAATACGTATGGGAAAGAGACATATCCACAATATGTTTAAATATTATAGTATATATGATGGGAAAGGACCACATACAAAGGTGTGAAGGATTAGAAAGGTGTCTGTGAACAATAATGTCAGACTTATAAAATGATCACTTCTTAAGGAGAGCAATGTCTTTTCTTCTATTTCTGCTTTGGTGTCACTGTTTTAATAATTTTTCTTTTTGGCTATGATCTCAGTGAAATCACAACACTAAATTTTTCCCCAACCAGATAGTTATTTAGAGAAACATTGAGCTTTGCTGGTGAATCTGTGATCATCACATTGGTGGTGGCAAGTGGTATTTATATTTGGACTATAAAGTAGATAGAGAATCCTTAGCTTTCCTTAAGAAGTGAGTGATTGTGCAGACAGGCAAGGCTGTGGTCCCTGAGGGAGACTGAGCTACAGGTGGGATCCACATCTAGAATAGCTGCTTAGAGGAAAGAGGTAAGAGTGGTGGGCAGGAGTGTTGGGTTTGAGTATGTTGCTTTGTGATACCCACTGGTTAACCAGAAAAAACCTTTTCAATATTGCTCTGAGTTGGTTTTTATTCCCTTTTTTAAAACTTGAAATCCTATAAGGGCTTGCCTAATCACCCTGATTCATGCACATATGAATAAGTAAAATCTTGTTAATGTGTGTGATACATAGCATTGGACA